CAGCGACCACTTAGTGTTTTATTGCTACTGGAGCAGAGCCGCAAAACACACGGCCCGTGGACTACATGCGGCAGTCAAGTGGTTTTTCTCAGGACCGCGAACGCGTCTCCGCTGACCGAAAACCTGCGCACCCGTCGGCAGCACTCTGACCGGGGATCTTGATATACATTTTCAATTTGTTTTTTAAGCGCACAGCCCCTTGATGTTTTTGACCGGTCTCTTGTGGTCCGCACTGTTTTTCACGTATGCAGTTCTAGAGTTTTAACGACTTCGTACATAGTGGCTTGCTGGCGAAGATCTTCTTGGGGTCATGCTCGTCAGTCAGGGATGCCGAGTAGTTTGTAAAAATTTACCTGAAATACCTAATACCTAGTTGCAGGAAATCTTTATAATGATTGACATCTTTCTCTACCTTTGCGTATTTTAGAGCGCCATGGTGTATAAGTGTATCCACCGCAGTATCACCAGCTGCATGCAACGGCTTTTTCAGCATATTTCGTTTTTTCTGTAAAATCTCTACGAAGTTCTTCCAGCGCACACAACACCCTCGCTAGCTTCTCTGATGGATAGTATAGTCCTCCCCTGTCCTGGTGCCCAAGGAGGGAATTACAAGGAGCCATAAAAGCCTGCTTAATGACCAATAGGAAGTGCAACTCGCGAGTCCGAGTTGCACATAGGCACACAACAGTAAGGTATCATGCAGTTAGAATGCAGCACAAGGTGTCAGGACTAAGTACAAGGTGCTGATGTGCCCACGATCAATAAATGAAATGAAATGACCGCACGTGTACGTGTGGCGTCGCGGTGTGCGTGCCACGAGCCGCAGACAGCCTCGTGCTATTGAGCTACGCCGGCAATCGCTAAGCGCTCTATCTGCCGGCCGAACGACGACCGAAAGCAGTTACTCGTGTCACAAAAAAAAATTACGTGATCAAGTGACCTATTTGATCACGCAAGGTCACGTTACAGCGTAACTTAACATAGGAAACTTACATTATCATGTAGCTTAACGGATAACTAAGCTTACGCTAGCTGCAGTGAACTGTAGCCGCAGGCAGCGAACAAGCGTCGTCTGCATTTCTGTATGGGGTTTTGGCACCCCTAGTAGCAAATCTGTGAAGTAAGCACGACGACGACGAAGAAACCATTGGGCAGGCATTTTCAGTATAAAGGAGGCTATGGTTTGGCATAGAACGCCAATGTGTCAATGGAAGGCTGAGATGGTCAATGGACTGTGGTAGCGATGCCATGTCGGTACGTTGCTCCGACGGCATAGAGATCTAACACAACTCGTCCGAGCGGGCGTGTGCGGACGGTAGCAGGCTTGTTGGTAATAATCGTAGTGTAGTACCATGGCGGCGGGGGAGCCCCAACGTACGGAAAACAGCGGGGAGGTTCCTCGTACATAGGAGTGGTGGTATGCTTCAAATTGCGAGCTTCTCTGCGTTCAGTGCTAATATATGTTCATTAGAGTTTAGTTGTGCATACTCGTAAAGGTGCCAGGTAGGTGTATGCCGAGGGAGACCAGTAATCCCGCGAATGGCATCTCTAATGACAATTTCGATAGTCTTCCACTGATATGCAGTGAGACGCTGGAACTGAGTTTGGTATATCAAGCGAAGTAGAGAGACGGACTTAACTAGGCGTTCGGCTACCTCAGTACCCACTTCGTCTCATCTTTTAAAGATGCGACGGGTGAGGTGTGTTGTAGACGCCGCCGTCTTGCGTGCCGCTTGAAGCCACTGCTTGGCTCAGCCGGACTGGTGGATGAGGAGTCCCAAGATCTTGGTTTGTGTAACCATCCCAAGCTGTGTCGACCCTATTCTGAGGGGTATGGGAGTCAATGGCAGTTTCTTCCGGGCAGCGTTGTTGCACACATGAAGGAATTGCGATTTCTCGGGAAACACCGTTAGGCCAAAGGTCTTTGTATGGCAGTCTAGTTTATTCAGCCCGTCCTGTAAGGCATTTTGTTGCACCTCTAGGGATGGGGGAACTGACCACATTGTGACATCATCAGCGTATAATAAAAAATGAAGGTGTTGTATATCAGCGAAAGCCCAGGCCAGGGGAAGGAATGCAATGTTAAATAGGAGTGATGCAAGTACTGAGCCTTGGGGCACGCCACAGTTTGATGGGAAGTTTGGCGACTCGTCATATGATAGGCGTACGGCGAAAGTTCTGTCGATAATGAAGGCGTGGACAGCATTTATGACACGAGGTGGGAGGCCGAGAACCACCATTGCCTCCAACAGTGGGGCGTGAGCGATATTGTCATATTCCTTTGTTATGTCAGTAGCTACAAGTGTGCAAACCAAGTGGCCATAGGGTGACAGATGTAGGACTTCCTTTGCAAGGCGGTCGAGCCCATCTTCCGTTCCAAGGTGTTGCCGGAATCCAATTTGGTTGGAATGATAGAGACAGTGGGCCTCCAGCCACCAAGAGATACGTTTAGCCATCATCCACTCATAGATTTTGCAGATGGTGGGAGTCAGTGATATAGGCCGCAGAGCTGTGAGGCCGGTCGGTGCCTTGCCCGGTTTGGGAATTGGCACTACAATCGAGTGTTTCCATGATGTGGGGAGCTCGCCGGCTTCCCAGATCTTATTGATCATAGCTAGCAGGTCTGTGACTGCTTCTCCCTCGAGGTTCTTGTACACCTCGTACGGGAGACCGTCATGTTTTGGAGCGGCGACTAGGACTCTGGATGGCGTCTTGGAGCTCAGCCAGAGTGAGGGGCATAGTGATGCCAGTAGTGTCTGGCATAGCCGTGACAGGGCGCGGGACCGACGGGCTGGCATGCCGAGGGAAAAAGGTATCCGCCGCGCGCGCCGCAAACTTATCGTCGGTGAGCCCCAGACGCAACTGAATGTTGCCAGTCCGGCCTTCAGCTTGGTGAGGTCGTTCCATAGCGTGAAAAGTCCGCCAGAGAGCCTCAGGGTGCTTCGGGTTACTCAACAAGGCACACCAGTCAAGCCAGCGTTGGCGTGTAAGTCTTTTCTCGTGGCGGCGTGCCTTAGCTGCCACGTGGGAAGAGGCTTCCCACGTGGTTACTCAACGAGGCATACCAGTCAAGCCAGCGTTGGCGTGTAAGTCGTTTCTCGTGGCAGCGTGCCTTAGCTGCCACGTGGGAAGAGGCTTCCCACGTGGTTACTCAACGAGGCATACCAGTCAAGCCAGCGTTGGCGTGTAAGTCGTTTCTCGTGGCAGCGTGCCTTAGCTGCCACGTGGGAAGAGGCTTCCCACGTGGCAGCTAAGGCACGCCGCCACGAGAAACGACTTACATACCAACGCTGGCTTGACTGGTGTGCCTTGTTGAGTAACCCGAGGCACCCTGAGGCTCTCTGGCAGACTTTTCACGCTATGGAATGACCTCACCAAGCTGAAGGCCGGACTGACAACATGTTCTGAAGTTGGTGGTCGTCGGAGTGTAAGGCTGGCCAATGTGACCGCTTCAAGTCGCTGTTGCCACAGGCTGAGGAGGTGGGGATCAGGTGTTGGTTGATCACAGTGCACCGTGGTAGTCGTGGTGCACTCCAACATGGCTTCTTTGATGGCTCTCTGAACTGTTTCTGGGTTCTGCGCCGTGATGTTAAGAGATGATCGAAGTTTATCCCAATCGGTCACCTGAACTTGCTTCCGGAGGCGGTTATATGCCGTGGGGAACCATTTGATAATGATCGGGAAATGGTCACTTCCCCAAGTGTCGTCACTCTGTGACATATTTTAACAACTTTGTTGCACGCGATTTAAAACAGACGAAATAGCCGCAAATTAAGATCGGTCTCACGCAATGAGTATTGCTATAAAAAAATCAATTTTTTTTGTAGCGGGAAATTATTTTTGTGACATGCTTGTCCCAATTAGGTTGTTTAATAAAACTTTTTTTTTTTTTGGTTACCCTTTAGTTTTTGCAACGCAATTTTCAGATTATTCTTTTGGGCAGCACAAGATATCAGGGTGTGCGTGTTGATAAATTTTGTTTAAAGGGAAGATGGGGCACTTTTACATTTGAGAAAAAACGCTTGAATTGCGTTCATTTGGCCTTTAGATTAACAGATATCAAAATTGTATTTCAATGCGACCCGCCGGAGAGCCATACGAGCAATTTCAAAATAGGACTGAAGCCCCGCCTCCCTAGCCTTGGGCAGCCAAAAGAGCCGTCGATGACGTCACGGACAGCGACTGTCTTTCGCGTTTTTCTCGCATTTAACAATACTTACGCAGAAAATGGTTTGGGTATTCGGGTTCACGAGGTAAAAATACACTAGAATTCACTTCTAACTCATTTTTTCCAAGAAGCTCCGTAGCTTCCCTTTAATACTTTTTTCCTTCAGTTGTGAAAATACTGTTCTTATAACTAAAGTTATAAGAAACATCTTGTGTGTTCTTATACGGTTTGTATATGTTCTTATATGATCTTATTGGATCATATGTGTTTATTGGACCAATAAATAACTTATAAAAATAACATTTTTCACTAGGGTAAGCCTCCCTTTGACGTTTTGTTGAGTGTCCAAAAAGCAATTAGCACACTCCGCCCCCATCCCACCCCGCTCAAGGTTTGCGAGGAGGGTGGTCCGCCTTCCCCTGCTTGACCAACAGGACTCTGTGGCGCTTTGCGGTTCTCTCCGGGGCCGGGAAAAGATGGCTATTTTCAACTCTAGACCGCAAAGAGGGAGCTGCAAAACGTCACATTGATGTCACTCCTCTGTCTCCGGATTTCTCTGGGACCCGTTTTCTCCTGTTTTGAGGCTTGGTTTGGACCTTGCTTAAGGGACATACTTAAAAGGGCACTTTAAATGACCAACTTGTCTCTGCAGCCTCTTTTCTGTTCTGTATGTAACTGATAGTATTGCAACTTGTACACGGTTTCTGCACTAGAGCAGCATTAGATTGAAAATCTTAGGAGTGAGGACATTCCTTATAGTGTGGCTATAATGTTTATTGCTTTTTGAATAGTAAATATGTTAAAAATAGTTATATGTTCTTTTTTTTTATAGATGCTGTCAGGTCAACATGTTCTATGGCTACGAAGACTTCTGTTGAAACCACCATGAAGTCGTGGCTGGTCGCCGCACCGGATCGAAACGGCGGGCGCAGCAAGCGGCGTGCTGCGGGTGAGCCGCAAGAGTAAAAATTACACCCTAAATAGAAAGCAAACACGTAGAGGCAAGGAACAGACAACGAAGACTCTCAAAGTGACTATATTTTAATTTCGTCCAACTGTGTACAACTGGCTCAAAATAGTGAAACAGATAAAAGGCGAATCTGAAGTGGTGTAGGAAATAGCACCAAATTAAACTCACCCACACTGAAAATACTCGCACACCAGATAAAATATCCCTCGCGTCGCAGAAACTTACAACTCAGAATCTATTTTCGTCTTCTTCCTTTTTCTTTTACCCGCGTTGAAGTTGATTATATCTCACTTTGTTGTCATCTCTACGAACCAAATAACAATGTCTATCACACATATAACCCTCGAGTGTCAAGATATAACTCTCTTGTAGTAAGCATTATAGACGGACTACTAACACAAGTATCCCTGATTTTCGTGACGTTAGCTGCCTCAATGATCTCATGTGTTAATAGTTGCCTCCAATTACGGTGCTATTTTTGAAGTCCGCAGTGCACCCACAGCTACGACAGTGAATGCATAAAAGTGCGGAGTTTGCTATTCGGGTGTTGTTGTTATGTTCTTTTAATCTGTCATTTCCACATCCTCGAGTTTGTCCTCTGTTACTGTGTGCCGCATGAGAGGGGAAAGGAATAGATCACTTTTTCTGAGGAAGGGATGTATGGGGTTCTATGCTTTTTAGTGCAGCCTATGATAGTTTTTTGTAAGCTGTTAATTTTTTTTACATAAACCTGAGAGTTTGATGGGGGTGGAAAAGAGTGCATTGGATGTTTGTACAATTCCCAATCTTCTCAAGGTTATGAGAAATTTTATGAATGTAGGGGATGACTATTGGTCTTTGGTTAGTGTATCTGTCGCATGACTTGCAAGAAGTGGTTTCACCTTTCTTAATCTGTTTGAGGAGAGTTTCGGTGACTGAAGTTAATAGATGTGAAGTATATCCCGCACCTAGTATCCAAGATACTTGTCCTGCAAAGCTTGTAAGGCCTGAATGTGGGCAGGACTTGAAAATAGATTTTTTTAAGCACTGATGGAATGCACCGAATTAAAATTGAGGAGCGGTTTTTTCCCTCTCGGCTCATACGACCAACAGGCATGACGGGGCTGAAGAGTCAATCTTAGGTCCAGAAATCTTAAGAAGATTACACACGAACTTTCAGAGCAAGGATTCTTAAGATTTCTGGACCTAAGATTGACTCTTCAGCCCCGTCATGCCTGTTGGTCGTATGAGCCGAGAGGGAAAAAACCGCTCCTCAATTTTAATTCGGTGCATTCCATCAGTGCTTAAAAAAATCTATTTTCAAGTCCTGCCCACATTCAGGCCTTACAAGCTTTGCAGGACAAGTATCTTGGATACTAGGTGCGGGATATACTTCACATCTATTAACTTCAGTCACCGAAACTCTCCTCAAACAGATTAAGAAAGGTGAAACCACTTCTTGCAAGTCATGCGACAGATACACTAACCAAAGACCAATAGTCATCCCCTACATTCATAAAATTTCTCATAACCTTGAGAAGATTTGGGAATTGTACAAACATCCAATGCAGTCTTTTCCACCCCCATCAAACTCTCAGGTTTATGTAAAAAAAATTAACAGCTTACAAAAAACTATCATAGGCTGCACTAAAAAGCATAGAACCCCATACATCCCTTCCTCAGAAGGAGTGATCTATTCCTTTCCCCTCTCATGCGGCAGACAGTAACATAGGACAAACTCGAAGATGTGGAAATGACAGATCAAAAGAACATAACAACAACACCCGAATAGCAAACTCCGCACTTTTATGCATTCACTGTCGTAGCTGTGGGTGCACTGCGGACTTCAAAAATAGCACCGTAATTGGAGACAACTATTAACACATGAGATCATTGAGGCAGCTAACGTCACGAAAATCAGGGATACTTGTGTTAGTAGTCCGTCTATAATGCTTACTACAAGAGAGTTATATCTTGACACTTGAGGGTTATATGTGTGATAGACATTGCCATTTGGTTCGTACAGATGACAACAAAGTGAGATATAGTCAACTTCAACGCGAGTAAAAGAAAAAGGAAGAAGATGAAAATAGATTCTGAGTTGTAAGTTTCTGCGACGTGAGGGATATTTTATCTGGTGTGCGAGTATTTTCAGTGTGGGTGAGTTTAATTTGGCGCTATTTCCTACATGATGAATACCCAACTTGCCCAAGCATCCATTTAAGAGAATCTGATGAATCAGCAGAGAAAGGAAAGGATAAAGAACAGAGGGGTCCCTCAGACAGTACTATCATAATATCCCCAGAGATAGCCCACCTTAAATTAAAAGCAAATTGGGTGAAAATAAGGAGTGGGCTACTCTCGCTGTGCGATACAAAAATGTTGACAAAATGACAGTTTTAGATTTCGTGACCTGCAAAACTTTTAATCGAAGGGAGTGGCGATGAACAAGAGAGGACTGTCCTTCCCAGTCAGCAGTGTTCGCTTATCTCCCGCCGTGGCTAAGTTACACCTCTGCCGAGGTCACCATTGGCGGGGGGGGGGGGGGGGGGGGGGGTTATCTTGATGGCTAGAAATGGGCTGTCTTTTGGAGTTTTTGAAAAAACAAATACCGAATTGTGCCAAATATAGGGGTGGGTTATCTTTCGGGGGTGGGCACCTCTTGGGATATCACGGTAGGTCAGCTAGGGTCGGAGGAAAGATGCCTTACCTTGGACAATGCATGCGAAGAAGCAGACACATTATTTTCGGAAACCATTGTCACGAGAGATATGAAAATATCATGTCCCTTACCATCGCATTCTCGGTAAATGCCCAAATTTAGAAAGACTGCTCCTTTCGATTTCCAGCAACCAGGACCCTGGGGAGACACAAGAATAGTGACAGATATGAAATTTGTGGTCTTTCGTGACATACGTTTTGAGAATAATGTGTCTGCTCCCTTGCTTGTGTTATTCAAGGCCATGCAGCTTTCTTCTGACCCTAATTGACCTTGGCCTGCCTCTGTTCTTTATCCCTATTCTTATTTCCACTGGCTCTTCAGATTCTTCCTTCACCTTGTTTACTCCTTGTTTACTCTTTTCGTTCGAGTGCCCCTGGCACAGTCTTGGACAAAAATAGAATAGTGTCGTTTTGAGTGTTATGTAGTATCTGTTCTTTGTCTATACGTGCTTACCGTGTTTGCACCATTCCAACAAACACTTTTTTTTTTCGCCAAAATCTGTGCCCAAAACTACATGTGCATTAAGGCCCGTTCACACTCTTGCGACCGAGTACGACTGAGAGACACGAGATCTCTTACAACTTCTTAAATGTTTTTAGAATGAGGGAACATACTGACATTGTGGCGCCATCTATGCGGTGACCCTGGAACTGCATTTCACAAGAGCGAAGGTTTTGCGGGATTTTCGAGGTCAAATGTGCGTAATACCTATAGAAAGGCTCGTTCATAACATTGTCAAAAGTTTTTCGAGCCAAGAAAGAAAGGATAATTCTCGAGAAATAAAAAAAAATATGCCGGACCGCCGAGTTTACACTGCTTCCCAATTGATGGCGCCAGTGTGTTTTCTGGTTTAACAAGTTTTAAGGAACCCAGGTTTAAGAGGTCGCAAGAGTGTGAACGGGCCTTTACATTCGAAACCAAAAAGCGAAATTCAAGAAAAACTCGATGCTCGGCATAAGGTGGCTAGCCCCATTGCCATCGTGACCGTTTGTTTACGTTTACCATTTCGGTATATGTGTCACGCACATTCTCTCGCATCTAGACTCGTGTCTGTCATCTTAAAATGGGGAAGAAAAAAATTCACTGAGGTTTTATGTAAACGAAAGGCCATCACGCTGGCAGAACAAGGTAACGACGGAGCAGCACTGCGTGGCCTCGCAATCCCAGCCACCCAACGAGCTCACTAATGTTGTTTGAAGGACGACCCTGGCAGAAGCGACGGCCCCGCACTCGTACATGCGCAAGAAGCACGGCACTCAAAATGCTTTAGAAATCTAGTATTACCTTTGTGGATAGCGAAGAAGCGTCGTGGGACTCTTTCAACGACTAGTGCACAACATTTATTTTTGTGTTGGCGTACGTTTCATAACATTTCACCTGTGAACTATGTGGTCAATCTTTGTTATTTTACCTCCGCAGTAGAATCGGCAGCAATTTTCTTTTTGATTATTTTGAGGCTAATTCTAACTGCACGTTAGAATTGGGGACGCGTTAGAATCGGGCAAACACGGTAAGCTTCCTGTTTATGGTGTATTTGTCAGCAAGAATCGTTTGCTCACCCACATTTTTTTTTTTTTTCACTTCAAATAAACTTGCAGCATAGTTTGCTGCTGCTCTGGATCATGATGTGTTTCTGCAGTCACTGCCAACGGAGGATGCCATTGGCATAACCAACATGGTTGAAAACAGATAAGAACTGCATGGCTAAAAATCAAATACACCAGTGGGCAACCTGCAACCTTTCAGACAAAGGATCATAACAACGAAAACTACTAAATAAGTTGTGATTTAGAGTAATGACCGTTAAGTAGTGGAACTGACAAGTGGCAATTTCGAGCAGCTCTTGTAGCAGGGAACAATAGGTTTTGGAGCAGAGGTTCCCACTCTTGGAGCAGACAATTTGGAGCTTTCATGTCAGAAAATTTTATACAATCTCTTTGCGAGTTAGTTAGCCCGTGGAAAATAACTGCAGTTGCTGGAGTGTTGGGAGACTATTTAAAGTGTCATACCTGCAGAGGGTTTGGCCGCTAGAGATATTAGGGGCGAAGCTTTTTAGGGGCTAGCCATGTCCGTATGTCCGTCCGCCGTTCGGCGTCGGGTGCTCGTGCTCGTGAGCTCTGGTGCTCCTGTAGGGCAAAAAAAAATTGAAAAAAATTGGAAAAACAAATTATGAAAACAGAAAAAGAAGAAAAAGAGTAGGGGGGTTCTCAGATGCCATCCCATCTGTCTTAAGAAAACCACATAATCTCCTACTTACATGAATGAAAGTGGCACCATCAGCACTACCTATGACCAAAATCAGTATCAAGAAAAAGAAGAAAAAAAAGAGATGAGGGTTCTGAGATGCCATCCCATCTGTCTTCTTAAAAAAAAGAAGAAAATTACACATTCTCCTACTGAAATGAATGAAAACGGCACCATCAGCACTACCTAT